CTGACAACGGCGAGTCAAGGGATTTCCACCTCAACGCTCACAGAGACTGCGGTTACAGACTGTTGTCATGGTGACATCTGTTGCTCTTCTCTGGAAACTGAGCTGACTTACTTTGGCTTAAAACCAGTTGTGAGGACATTTCTGTTACACATTTGCCAGATCAGATATTTCTCATTACCTGCATGAATACTATTAAATCACTGATTTCTCTCAGAAAATACCTGCAAGAGAATATAACTACAACCTTTGCACCTCTAAAAGCAGGGTTTATAGGAGTTATGCTAGCTTGTGATGCTACAGAAATTTCCTGTTTGCAACTAGCTAATTACTGAGAACTTAGTTTAGATCCTAGGCCAGGAAACAGTTATGTCCTTACAAGTACAGAAACACAAATGTGTGGGTAGGTAGGGTCCTGACCTGTGTGTGGTGCATGACTAAGTGCATGTAGTGTGTGTACAGTGTGTATAATTGTGTATATTCAAAGCATATAATAGTGTGTACTGTGTGTATTCAGTCTGTGTTTCAGGACTCTTCCTGATCCTGACCCCACCGATGCTGATGCAGCTGAAACCAGACTCTGTGTTTCTATGAGGACAAAGCCGCAGCAACACAAACAGGTCCCGAACAAAAGGTGGCCATGTTTCCAGAACTCCATCCATCCATAAATCCTGGCAGCAAGCGGTTCTGCGCGGTTTGACACAGGAGCTGCTGAGCATCATGCCTCTGCCCCGACGACACTCATCCTTTCTGGGACAGCTGTCCTCTGAACACCTGGCCTCTGCCTCCTGTGGGAGGATTGGCTTGGTCAGCACGGGCACCACCCGTGGCGTCTTCGTGGGCTCCACCCCTCCAATGGATGGGGCCTCCAGTCTGGGGACACGTGTGTCCCGACGGGCTCTGGGTATCAGCAGTGTGTTCTTGCAGGGGATGAGGAGCTGTGCAGCCCCAGTCTTGCCCCAGGCCGGAGAACGTTCGGCAGCGGTGACCGGTCTGAACAGCTGCCTGATAGAGTACCGGGACAAAGTGAGAGCACTGGAACAGTTGAACCAACAGCTAGAGGAACAAATACGACTCTGTCTGGACCGCAAGGCATGCAGTGCCGGGGCCTGGGGGCCGCTCAGGAGGGAGTGGGAGGACGTCTACAGGCAGGTGAGCACAGGCACAGGGTGGTGATGTTACAGTCTCGAGTGATCTGATTCTATTCAGAGGCTGATTGGTAGGAACAAAGGCATCTGAGTCATATTTGAGAGCTGTTGTTTTATCTTTGTGGCCTGATTTTATTGCCTGTGTTCTTAAGCTACTTTACTAAGAGAGAAAGCACAGGGGTGGTCAAGTGAGCTAGAGAGTGAGTGAGGAGAGGGAGCAAAACAAAACAATGAATCAGAGAAATAAAATGTTCCGATTGTTTTATTGTAAAGCACAAACAACCACGACCACACAACCCTGCAGGAAGGATTGTATGTGAATGCAGTCAAAGTGCAGGCTTCATCCTGGTGTCTGCGCTGTGGCCTCTGCCCTGCACCTGAGTGTAACTAAGCCCCGCCCTCATCCAAACAGACACACTTGAAACTGGATGCTTAACAGTACACCACAGATGTCTTTAAGTGCCTACTCTCACTAGGCACAGTTGCCTCGTACCATGCCCCCACTGCCCAGAGCACAGAATGTGAAATGAGTAATAGTAAACTCCACATGCAGATGAGGACTATGTGACTGATCACAAGCGTAACCACAGTTTCTGTGATGTCATACCTTTCACTCATTTCACCACTTTCTAATGAGGATTGGCTGAATTCAGAGACCTGAACCACATTCACACTGATGCTTCAGGAAACACCCCGACCCACATGATGTTTGTGTTACCATGGTAACCACCTGATTATTGTATAAACAGATGAAAACCACAGATCTGGGGTCTGGGGTCAGGTCCCCCCCCCCATCTCAGCTACAGGACTGGTACTAATCAGAAAGTCTCTGTCTGATGAGAGCCTGTAAAACCCTGGTCTACACTGGGACCCCCTTTGTGATGCTAAAAAAGTTAAAAAGCTAGATAAAAAGAGAATCACTGGTTTCTGGGGGAGGCTGCAGGAAACCACACTCAGCAAATTGGCATGTGATTCACTGTTTGCCTTAGAGATCAGGGAGTAGATGTAACTTTTTATTATAAGACTAAGTGTTCTTTGTTACTACGTTCTTACGTACACATGCGCCGCGCGGAGTGGCAGCAAGTTACATCAGCTGTGTCCTTTTCGTGCTTTTATGAAGTCCTGTTCTTATGGTGTTATGTTAGTTGTTCTCTATTGCTGCTGTAACAGAGTAATCTCTGCTCTGCTCTGGATGTGTGCTTCTACAGCGGCTTCAGGTTTGTGTTACTGTGGAGCAACAGAAGTACAACACCGCCAGTATAACAGTCAGCTGCTTCAGAAGTGGTTCATAACATGTCAGCACATGCTTCATATGCTGACATGTATGGACTGTCAGAAAACCCAGTTAATCTGCTTCATCTGTGTCAGTGTAGTGTGTATGATTGACAGCTGCAACTCCATGACAACAGATGGAAAACTACTGATGCAAAAGCAGGGTGGACAGAAATAATAAAAACACTGTCAGCGTTACACAACGCAATCACTCACCATCCCCCAGGTGAATGAAGCTGAACACCATGGAAGAGGACTTATCACAGGACCGACACAGGTTTGTGTGTGTCTGCTGCCCCCTCCTGGCTGCAGCGGCTTTGAGTTCTCAGTTTTCCTTTTTTCTGCAGGTCAGTGAAGCCATCCTGGGTAACGCTCGCCTCATGCTGCAGACGGAGAACGTTCAGGCCAATGCCGAGGACTTCAAGGACAGGTCAGAGGTCTCGCACACGTTACTGCACGTAACCTGGACGCTCATCGGCTGGGGCATTCAAGGGCACTCAGATATTTGAGAATCTAATGGTGCATAAGGAAGATTTTAGTGCGACAAGTTCAAACTTTGCTTTGGCAGTGTCCACATTCAGTAGTACTCTAGATCCTGAGAAGCAAAGTGACATCACCCAGAGACAGAAAACATGGAGGGATGTAAGGTAAACGTAATTTAGATATAGAACTAAGGCTAAAATTTGTCCCAAGTAGCACAGAGAGTTACTGAGACAGTGACAGCGAGAGATTGCTGTTTTAGTAGAAATTATGAGGACGTGTTGAGGTAAAACACAGGTAGGCACATGAGTAGCAGAGAATAAATCACAGGTCTAGCTCCAGTGAAGTCAGACTAAACCCTTAAACTGCTGCTAAACTGCTGACAGAGCAGAAAAAGCTCCAGAGCTGTCAACATGCACCAACAGGAGGAAGAGGAGGGGGAGTAAGGTCTACCTTGGTCCTTCAGGTACGAAAATGAGCAGCCCTTCAGGAAGGCGGTGGAGGAGGAGATCAGCTCTCTGTACAAAGTCATCGACGACGCCAACCTGACCAAGGCCGAGCTGGAGGAGCAGATGGAGAACATGAATGCGGAGCTACGCAACCTGGAGCACAACCACGAGCAGGTCCCACCAAAGTGTTCGACAAACACACAAACCTCAAATCATACGAATCTTCTGGGCAGAAAAATGCAAACAGCATTCAGAGCTGCTTTTAATCACAAATGTGTCACCACTGAAATTATGCAACACGTCAACATTTTGCTTTTATTAATAGTTTGTTCATTGCACAGCTGATAATCTGGTATGACGACAGACTTCTACAGTCAAAGTAATTATGCATTAAGCAGCTGATCAATAAAACTAATAACTTGATTAAATGTGAACCGCAACCGAAATAACCTTGGAAATCAACTGGACTTGGATTTCTAGATCGAAGACGTTTCACCTCACATCCAAGAGGCTTCATCAGTTCTGACTGACTGGTGTTGAGTTGGAGATATTTATCCCCCTCGGTGTGGTTTCAGTCCTTAGAAGGCGACTGAGAATCTGCACAGATATTGATTAAATGTGAATTAAAATGCTGTTTTATAAAACCCCAAGTAAAACAAGAAAAACATTTCTCCTCTTATTCTGTCCTTACACTGCAAAATTAATGGTCCAAAGGTTTTAAATTAAGGAAAATGAACAAGTAATATAAAGTTGCATATAGAAAAGATGTTTGAGTAAAAAGAACAAAAGCAAAACAAAAAGATTGTTTTGTTGTCCTGTCTTTAAATAATAAGTTAATGAAATTTAATTTTAAAATGTTGAGACTTACATTATTCAAAAGTAAAACGATGTTGTAGCCTAAATGAAAAGTGATATGTATGCTACCACGTCCCAATTGTCTTTAATTAATATGAAATTGTACATTTGAATTTTTATTCACCTTATAACAAAAGGAAATAGCTAAATGATGAAATAAAGGCCTGCGAAATTTATTTTTTAGATTATTTAAGTCACTTACATGGAAATCGTTTTGTAGTTTTAATAGATTTTGATTGAATGAGCTGACGTTATCAGAGCAGTGTGCTTCCTGTCCAGGATGTTCGAGTCCTCTACAGTCACTTGGCGGGACGTGAGGTGGACGAACCCGACGCTCCTATACAAACCAGTCTGGACCAGATCCTGGCCTACATCCGGAGCCACTGGGAGAAGGTGATGGAGAAGAACCGAGCCGAGGCCGACCGCTACCTGGAGTGCAAGGTGAGGCCGTCTCACCTGTACAGGTGTCCTCACAGGTCTAACTGTTTCTTTCAGGTGTGTCTGACGTGTTGGTGTGTCTTGTCGAAGGAGGCCCAGTGTGTGAGCAGCAGGCTGAGTCCCGAAGAGGAGCAGGTGGAGGCGCTGAAGGCCGAGTGCAACGACACCGGCTGTAAGATCCAGAGTCTACAGGCTGAGACAGAGGCCCTCAGAGCACTGGTGAGACGCACGCACGATCACATCATTGATCAGTAACCACCATCACAAACGTCCCATTGTGTCACCACTGTCCTGCAGAAACGAGGTCTAGAGAACTCCCTGAGTGACGCCCGGCATTGGCACGACATGGAGCTCCAGAACCTGGGCTCGGTGGTGGCCAAGCTGGAGGCGGAGCTGGCCGACGTCCGCGGAGAGATCGAACAGCAGCGCCGTGACTACGACACACTGCTGAGCACCAAGCAGCGTCTGGAGCAGGAGATCGGCTTGTACCACGGCATCCTGGACGGAGAGGAGAGTCGCTTCCAGCCTGCCGAGACGCCGTGAGTCACCGTACCGGGGCGACAAATCAGGCTTCACAGCAGCTGAGCTCAATACACAGTCACACATGATCCAATAGTCCCCAAACAACAACCGAAGACTATAAGTCAAGGCAATGAAACAAGTCACTAAATATAGGATGGGAAAGGCCATCCTGAACTTAAGACATTAACTCAAGATGAAGTGATGATGATCAGTCAAGATTACAAAACAAACTAATGAGTTTACAAGATACTCAACATTAGGAGATACTCTGACAAGGTTATGAGGAACTGTCCAATCAAAATACTAAATCCAGATGGTGAGGTATCGAACAAGATTCTATTAAGAGACATGAAGTCAAATTTACAAGACAAAATCAAACTGAGATACTACATCTGAACTTTGACAGTAACTTCCTATTGCATTTAACATTTTTTGCTTTATTTAAAAAAAAACTCTGAATATTCTTATCAACCTCCCATCATAACCTTTCGCTGATCAATAATATCATGTAATAAGAAATTAGTCAATAACCCCCTGTGATAAGAAAACATCCCCAAACATCCTGGACTCTGTAACTGTTGTTAAAACAATTATAATTACCTGTCTAGGTGTCAGGGTCTGCACTCAGAGCCCGAGGGAGTGGCCGATGCTCCCGGATCCAGGACCGACATGGAACCCCAGGACCCCCAGGACAGTGACCCCGGGGGGCATCTGAGCAGCAGACAATAGCCCAGCAGGCACTCTCTGGAACTTTGTGTTTCTTCAGACGGGAACTCTGAGGTTGAAGTGGTCTCTACAGGAGGATTGCTACCTGTGGTGCAGTTGTAAAAAAAAGCAGGAATTCCAGAGTGTGACCAAAGTGTTTCTGCTGAATGTGAATGTGTGAGAACACTCAGGCTCCACTACACCCAAGGACCCGGCCTTAACTGGTCCATAGGTCCACACTGTGGACTGTTCTGGGACTCTGGATCAGTCTTGCCTCTGATTGAACCAAACAGAAAATTTTCAGGAGGGTGACAACAAATGGTGTGTTCAGGTGGTATTTGCAGGAATCACTCATCTTTATGATGTTACCAGCAAGTAATTTCCTTAAAGTTCCAGTCTCAAACTGGGACCAGTCGCTCAGACAGGATGTGCGGTGGGTTAAAAGTGGGCTCTGTGCAGTTTAGAGTTGTTTCCTATAGACCTGGGTGACTAAGGAGAAACAGATTAAAAACTGAAGCAGTTAAAGGAAAATTCTGGTGTTTCATGGATCCAATTGCTTTTCCTTTTCAGGTCTACATGTGCCGCTCTGAGTCACTGCAGAGTCCCAGTTCGTTTGTCTGAACCCTGAAACCACGGATTAAATAATCGGAATTTTTAATGAACCTGAAGACGGAGGATTGTTCTTGTCAGATGTTCCTGTTGAAACTGCTGCTGGTTCAGTGAGACAATAAAGGAGGTTCAGAGCGATTTCAGCAGGTCGAACTCTTTATTGCTCCCTATTAGAAACGATCCCAGTGGCTGTAAAATCCTGCGGTTTTAAACAGATTTTGCTAACTTTCATATACAGGATTTCACTTCGATTTTAACTGTTGAACACTGAAGGTCTGAATGACAGACAGCTAGGATACCAGAGCACACTGTATGTTGTGTCAGCAATGAGCTCCAGAAAACCTTTAAGTCAAAATATGCCAGATCTTCTGACACCTGAAACCGTCCTCACCAGGTCTCATTTACTCTGAAGAGTCAAAATTAAAAACTGTGAAAACACAAATTCCAAAATATTTCACCTGATTTGAATTTATTTGCCAAACGAGCAATTTCCCCCCCTTTTCTTTAAACATGCATTTTTAGAGCTCGAAGCTTTGGTATAATTTCACTTCTGCTTGTTTCTCTTTCATAGTTTGATTACTAATCAATGACGTTCACTGATCACTAAAGATCGGACAGAAACAGAAACCAACCTCAGTCTGAAAATTCTCACTTTATTGTTCCACAAACTTCCCAGGAAGGAAAATGGATAATAAAAAAAAATCATAAATTACCAATAATAATCAAAATAAAATAAATAAAACTGCAGATTTTTGATGAGGCTCTGTCCGTGTGCAGAGGCTGGAGACGACCGGCTGAATAAAATCAGTGTTTACCACTTCTCATTCCTGAAAACTATTTAGACATTGAGTGATCCGGTTTAATCTGGACTGAAGATATCCTTAAAGCTGCATTAACCAATATTTAGCATAAATTCAGATAAACCAAGAATCATGTAGAAGTGTTGTCTCCCCGTTGTCCCACCGTTTGTAGGTAGGAAAAAGGATCCGTGTCACTGCAGTGCCACTGAAAACCACGGGCTCTATGGGCTCTGTTCTGTACAGGTTAATACCGTTGCTGCGCTGTCTGACCGCCACAGCTGTCTCTGGCTGTGGTTACCACATAGGACATAGTTTCGAAGACGAGGAGGAGCAGAGGAAGAAGAGGAGGGAGAAGAGGAGGGGATACCGCCTGAGTTTGTTTTGGCTCTCTCTCACTCGGTTGAGAGTTTGAGGGCAAAAGTTTGTTATAGCTGCTTTACGGAAACTTTCCAGAGCTTTCCACCACATCTCATAGTCTTCATCGGCTGACGAAACTCTCTGATAACAGAGAAATATCATCTGCTGATGAAGGCCACAAAATGCAGCTGAAAGCTCTGGTCTAAGGTCAACTTCCAGGAAGCTGGTCTAAGGTGTGAAACACATTTACAATCAGATTGTAAATGATAAATAAAAAAATAAACTAATAACTGATCATTACTGACAGAATTCGTTATTAACTATGTGTTTATTACGGTATATTATTTCTTACTAACTGTTTGGTTCTTTATAATAAATTAAAACGTTAAATTGATTTAAAAATGTTTTGTGAGAATATTGTTGAGACTCCAGGTTGCCAGTCACTTGTCTCAGTTAATAATTCAATAAAATCACAACAGTCACTAACCACACCGAGTTACTGAGGCCGATCTCCGGTCTCCATATATTCTGTAAAAAACAACAACAGATCAAATGTGATGGTGGAAAAGAAGCTGGTTCATAAAAACCTGAATTTTTAAAACTTTCTCCAGAAAACTGTCTGAAAATGTTTTTAAATTCAAACCGAAGCAGCCTCAAACTGTTGTGTTCAGTGGTCGAACCCCCCTCTGAGCCTTTCAGCATGTATTCGTTCACATGTAGTCAAAGTAATGTCTCCATTAAAGCCACAGAATTAAGTTATTAACAGAATTGCCAGCAGCAGTAGCAGCTCCTGTGTGGATGTACAGACAACTGTCACTGGGTTAGTAAAGTTAGCAACAGGAGGATG